GCTGAACATGAAACAACGGCTAACACCCCAAACTTCATGATGTTGGGCAGGGAGACCAGCACCCCATTGGATATCCAGTATTCAATGCCTCGGGATATCAAAGTCATACCCCAAAATATGTGGGCTTGGCGGCTGAAAGAGAAGATGGAGGATGCCCATCATATGGTGAGACAGCATGTGAAAGGAGCCATGTTGAGACAGAAGAAGAATCATGACTCCAAGCTGTCCTGGCAGAACTTCAAACCAGGCAATGAAGTTTTTGTGTTCTTTCCGAATGTAAAGGTGGGACGAAGTCACAAGTTATCAAGTCGGTGGAGAGGACCGTACAAGGTGCTAACTAAGTTGACAGACGTCACCTGCAGAGTGCGTTGCGGACGCAAGGGGAAGTCACAGGTCATCCATGCGGACCGTATGAAGTTACGGGAGGGTCAGGTCATGAGTGGTGAAAATACCCAAGAAGCGAGAGAGTTAAGGGATCGACCAACACAGGTCGATGAGAGTTGTTTCAGCTACTGGAAAGTAGGGGATGCTGCGTCATCTAGAGAAATGAATGGGAGTGTGATGGAAGATGCTCATATGGAGGTGGAGAATGATGTGAATAACAGTGATTCAGTCAGAAATGGAGAGAAAACGTTTGAGAACAACTCCAGACAAACACGCACTCGACGACCACCTCAGTGGCATTCTAGTTACACTTCAGAATATTAGGTAGATCTGTTATCACTATATGAGGGTAACATTTGCTGTTGTAGAAGAATCATAGTGTATATTTTTGATTGATGTCATTACATCTTGAAGAGTTCAGTACCAGAGTTATTTTATTTCTATAACGCGAGGACGCGTTGTTCTCGGAGGCGTGGGTAATGTGATGAATGTACATATCGTAATCCTACCTTCGCTGATTTAGCATATTATTCAGGTTAGATACGTTGATCTGTTGGCGTTAATCATTTGTGTTATGTCTCCGTAATTCGAACGCTTAGAAGACAGATAGTTTTCGAGGTACAATCAAAACGTACAGGTGATTATACCTCACTCACCGCTAGGTGTCGCTAGGATAGCAAGAGGGTATAAATAGGCAGAATCCAGCGACAATCGGGCCAGTTCTGTTCTGATCTCGGCGTGTGTACAGCAGTGACAGATCGCAAGTACCTAATATATGCGAGACCGGCTTTGTGTTGGAAAGATAGAAGTGACTGAATAAGTCTTGCCTTGATCCACACACTGCATGGAAGATATATTAAATAAACGATTGAGTGCTGTAGCGAGATACCGTTAGACAGAAGGTGTCACGGGCATAGGCTGTGCAGTGCTAGTCGCGACCAGGCTAGTCGTGACTAGGTATAGTCGTTAGTGCTAGTCGTGACTAGGGGTAGTCGCGACCAGGCTAGTCGTGACTAGGTATAGTCGTTAGAGCTAGTCGTGACTAGGGATAGTCGTGGTCATTAGAGAGTGCCGTAGTTGTATACTAGTATAAGGCTGTCGTGATCGGCGCGACTAGGTCATATAGCTAGGTAGCTGACTATAGGGCAACTATAGTGACTAGGGCTAGCCGCGACTAGGTAGTCGAGTTGTGTACTGCCTGGATTGTACGGTAGTGTGTGTAGTGTGTTATATTGATACAGAGCAGATAGCTTTGGTAATAGTTCTATAGTCGTGCAGTAATTATTCTGTTCATATCATGTATTAAGCATTAGGTAATAGGTATGCTGGTTACAAGGTAGTAACACATATTTGTATATATTTGCAACTGTAGTGTAGTTATAATTAAGCTTACAGCACAGGGATCCTTAGAAGTGACTAGGGTACGGACCCCGGAACGTTACATATCCACTATGTTTTGAGATATATCTTTTAAACTGGATTAACATCTTTTAATTATCCTTTTTTTGTCTTTGATAGAAGTATTGTGATATATTTACTTTTAAATGTTGATAGCTATATCTGCACCAAATGTCACGTGTAAACCTCCCTAAAATTCTTTAAAATATTAGAAAGTCTCCAATTTTGGTTCCAACAAAGTAATTAGGGACTTCAGAAGGACACAAAAGTGATATAACTATGTTATATGCAGTATTATTTCGGTGTTAAATGTCTCACAAATTTCTCACTAATTCAGAGAAAAAAATCACACTAATTTTGACCAAATCTCATTAAACAATTCACTAATCTCACTATTTTGCAGCAGAAAGTTATGGCATACATTGTATTTGGAATAAAGAACATTGAACACTGATTAGAAACCTGATATGAGTTAGTGGTAAAAATGCAAAGTATCTATGATGAGGGTGAACAAATGTTTAGTTAATTAAGTGCTATCTGTGGATGAGCATACACGGTAGAAGGCGAAATCTCACAGATTTTAACGTGCGATAATGTCTCACATCGTGCGATAATGTCTCACATCGTGCGACATAAAGTTACAGAAAGTCCTCAAAGCCTCATAACATTTTGATAATCAATCCCTGAACTATTTGCCCTTAGCTGTTAAAGTTGTACGAGATTCTACATGTATATCTATGTTTTGAGTAATAATTGATAATTTCTGTTCTCAAGTGCTCTTCTGATAACTTCTGAATATTCAACTGATGTCAGCCGACATGTGAGTTGATCTAAGTGTATTTTTCATTAGATAGTTGTAATTAATCTCCAATGTAAATGAAATTTAATAGATTCATAATGTAGATTTTGTTTGATCATTTTTCAGTGATATTTGGGAGTCAGTTATTTGAGTCCTGCTGGTCTCATGCTTTTCCTGTTGGACTCGCCAACATTCTGAGGACGTTGATTTGTTGGCGTTAATCATTTGTGCTATGTCTCTGTAATTCAAACGCTTAGAAGACAGATAGTTTTAGAGGTACAATTAAAACGTACCGGTGGTTATATTATACCTCACTCACCACTAGGTGTCACTCAGATAGTCAAAAAGTATAAATAGGCAGAATCCAGAAATAATCGGCTCCAGTAATTTAGGGAAGTCGTGACTAGGTATAATTGTGTAGAGCTGGTCGCGACCAGAGTAGTCGTGACTAGGGTAGTCGCAATCAGGGTAGTTGTGACTAGGGAAGTCGTGACTAGGTATAGTTGTATAGAGCTGGTCGCGACCAGAGTAGTCGTGACTAGGTATAGTTGTGTAGAGCTGGTCGCGACCAGGGTTGCGTGACTAGGTATAGTTGTGTAGAGCTGGTCGCGACCAGGGTAGTTGTGACTAGAGAAGTCGTGACTAGGTATAGTTGTGTCGAGCTGGTCGCGACCAGGGTAGTCGTGACTAGGTATAGTTGTGTAGTAATTAGTCTGTTCATGTCATGTATTAAGCACTAGGTATGCTGATTACAAGGTTGTAACACATATTTGTATATATTTGCAACTGTAGTATATTTTAAGCCTTACATCACAGGGATCCTTAGAAGTGACTAGGGTACGGACCCCGCAATGTTACACTGTAATACTCACAGATTGGTCTCTCATGAAATCTGGCATCTATATGTATGAAATATATTTTCAATTATAGTATATCAATTCAATCTTCTTGTAATATGATGTATATGTACATGTAACTGTTCTGTTTCACTGTGTCTTGAAAAAGGAGCGGGTCGCTCCGAAAATTTGACAACCTAAACTTGTCCACACTGTTGGAATTACTTCTTTGCCCCATATGAAATCTCAGGTGTGTATTTGGCAGGGTGTGTGAGCATGTCACCTCTCCCTAAAAGAGATAATATTAATCAGCCAGAGGTTTAAGATTACAACTACATGTACAAGTACCACTCCGCCTTTTACCCCTAATTCTAGCACATGCCTTCCATAGATCTCACAGATACGTTAAGTTACCTTCAGACCTGTGATGACCCAACGGATGATTATACCTTCGCCTGGCGAGTCGTCAAGGGTAAATATGGATCTGGCCAAACCTGTCCAAACTGCCTCACCTCTCTACAGACTTCTTATCTGATTGTAACAAAACTTCACATAGGTATTCACAAACATCACCTCTTCTGCAGTCAAAAACCAGGTCACTGCTACTATAAATAGAGTTTGATAGAAATTGATCTACAGACAACTTTCTTTTCCTGTCATCATGAAATTTCAGACAACATGTTCATAGATATCACCTTCTGCAGTCAAAAACTAGGTCACTGTTATTGTAACAGCTTGAAGTGCGATGGTACTAGTGTCGTCTATGATATGCTAGCTGGTTTATGTAAGCTACACATTTTCCATTTCAAGCTTTGATAGCTTAACTAAGAGGCATTTATTGTTTGAAACGCTCATTTGGATGCCTTCATTAAGAGGCTTACCCGACCTCTCATTATGAAATCATCTTATTCTAAGATATTCTATCAAGTAGTTTTATAAATATTCCACTAATTTGATATATAAGAACAATAAAATAAAATTGTAGAGTGTAAATCACCAAACATTTTTTAAATTGACCATCTAGAATAAATGTAGTTTAAGGGATAGTCTTGCCTATTGTTTTCTTTTCTATTTTTTTGCATTACATATTAGATAATGTAACGCCTGCCAGTGCTGGCTTCTCATTCTGAAACAAGGGACATTCTCAGAGTAGTCAATTGTTTTTGTAAATAATTCATGAAGCTGACAATTAAGTGTAACAAAGAGAAAAATATTACAGATTATAAATCATGAAACTGTTTTTAAATTGACCATGTAGAAAAAGTGATACATTTGTTCATTTTGATAACATACCGGTAACTCACTAATGATGAGTACCCAGGTACGGCTGCTGTCGATTATATTTTGGAAGTCCCCTTAAGTATAGTAACACTTAACAATGAACTTGATGGCATCAAAGTAGACTTAGGACATAGGTGCACCTCAAATTCAATAAAAGAAAGATACACATTTATTTTCATCTCTGTAGTATGTATCTGGGTTGGCAAACTTGTGATTCTCACATATTCTTTTTGTCTAGTGGGGAACCAACAAAGAAATGATACAAGAATTAACATCAACCAATGATTATATCTTATTGGCAGGTGGTCCCTGTTAGAAGTCTCAACATCAGAAAGTTACAGCGATGACGTGCAGGCCTACGCAGCAGGGTTGGTGGAGGGATATCTTACAGCAGACTTCATTAAGATGCAATGGTATAACACCATAGAGGGCTACTGTGACAAACCATATACGGCCTACTGTACACGTCTTCAGGCCTACCTCCAACAAAACCTCGACTGGATGAATAGGATGATCAGTAAATCCAAAGCAGACCCTTACTGGAATCAGGTAATTACACATTAACAAACCTCACCTATCTAGTGCCAGAGGTTCTAACAGTTTCTAACACGAACATGTGACTGAATGAAACTTGATTTAAGGGTGAAATATTAGAAGTGTGTTATTGTTTGGTCAGCTTCAATTCTAAACTAGTACTGGTGTATGTTTGATGTTTCCAGTTTTAATTATGGAAATATTTTCAGAATCAAATTTTCTCTTAATATGTTATTAAGTTTAAGGCTGTATGTTACATATACAGTATGCATTATAGGTATTACTTTTGCAAGAATTATCGCCCTTAAAAGGTTTTGTTTTAAGTTATTTGATGGATATTTTCTGCAATCAGCCGATTTCAGCTCTTTTTTTTATTAGTTTACTTTTATAAAATCAATTGCTGTATTATCACTGTATTTCGGAGTACCATTCACTGTAAGGCTTTAGGTTATGTATAATTCAGAGTACCATTCACTGTGAGGCTTTAGGTTACGTATAATTCAGAGTACCATTCACTTTGAGGCTTTAGGTTATGTATAATCCAGAGTACCATTCCCTGTGAGGCTTTAGGTTATGTATAATCCAGAGTACATAATTCAGAGTACCATTCACTGTGCGGCTTTAGGTTATGTATAATCCAGAGTACCATTCACTGTAAGCCTTTAGGTTATGCATAATTCAGAGTACCATTCACTGTGAGGATTTAGGTTATGTATAATTCAGAGAACCATTCACCCTAAGGCTTTAGGTGCCTACTTGTCATATTATAGTATTAGGCCTGTAAGGTGCCTACTTGTCATATAGTATTTGGCCTGTAAGGTGCCTACGGGTCATATAGTATTTGGCCTGTAAGGTGCCTGCTGGTCATATAGTATTTTGCCTGTAAGGTGCCTACTGTTCATATAGTATTTGGCCTGTAAGGTGCCTACTGGTCATATAATGTATAATTCAGAGTACCATTCACCGTAAGGCTTTAGGTTATGTATAATTCATAGTACCATTCACTGTGAGGCCTTAGGTTATGTATAATTCAGAGTCCCATTCACCCTAAGGCTTTAGGTGCCTACTTGTCATATTATAGTATTAGGCCTGTAAGGTGCCTACTTGTCATATAGTATTTGGCCGGTAAGGTGCCTGCTGGTCATATAGTATTTGGCCTGTAGGGTGCCTACTTGTCATATAGTATTTGGCCTGTAAGGTGCCTACGGGTCATATAGTATTTGGCCTGTAGGGTGCCTACTTGTCATATAGTATTTGGCCTGTAAGGTGCCTGCTGGTCATATAGTATTTGGCCTTTAAGGTGCCGACTGGTCATATAGTATTTGGCCTGTAAGGTGCCTGCTTGTCCTATAGTATTTAGCCTGTAAGGTGCCTACTTGTCATATAGTATTTGGCCGGTAAGGTGCCTGCTGGTCATATAGTATTTTGCCTGTAAGGTGCCTGCTGGTCATATAGTATTTTGCCTGTAAGGTGCCTACTGTTCATATAGTATTTGGCCTGTAAGGTGCCTACTGGTCATATAGCATTTGGCCTATAACGTGTCTACTGGTCATATAGTAGTTGGCCTGTAAGGTGCCTGCTGGTCATATAGTATTTGGCCTGTAGGGTGCCTACTTGTCATATAGTATTTGGCCGGTAAGGTGCCTGCTGGTCATATAGTATTTTGCCTGTAAGGTGCCTGCTGGTCATATAGTATTTTGCCTGTAAGGTGCCTGCTGGTCATATAGTATTTTGCCTGTAAGGTGCCTACTGTTCATATAGTATTTGGCCTGTAAGGTGCCTACTGGTCATATAATGTATAATTCAGAGTACCATTCACTGTGCGGCTTTAGGTTATGTATAATCCAGAGTACCATTCCCTGTGAGGCTTTAGGTTATGTATAATTCAGAGAACCATTCACCCTAAGGCTTTAGGTGCCTACTTGTCATATTATAGTATTAGGCCTGTAAGGTGCCTACTTGTCATATAGTATTTGGCCGGTAAGGTGCCTGCTGGTCATATAGTATTTGGCCTGTAAGGTGCCTACGGGTCATATAGTATTTGGCCTGTAAGGTGCCTACTGGTCATATAATGTATAATTCAGAGTACCATTCGCCCTAAGGCTTTAGGTTATGTATAATCCAGAGGACCATTCACTGTGAGGCTTTAGGGTATGTATAATTCAGAGTACCATTCACCGTAAGCCTTTAGGTTATAATTCAGAGTACCATTCACTGTGAGGATTTAGGTTATGTATAATTCAGAGAACCATTCACTGTGAGGCTTTAGGGTATGTATAATTCAGAGTACCATTCACCGTAAGCCTTTAGGTTATAATTCAGAGTACCATTCACTTTGAGGCTTTAGGTTATGTATAATCCAGAGTACATAATTCAGAGTACCATTCACTGTGCGGCTTTAGGTTATGTATAATCCAGAGTACATAATTCAGAGTACCATTCACTGTGCGGCTTTAGGTTATGTATAATCCAGAGTACCATTCCCTGTGAGGCTTTAGGTTATGTATAATTCAGAGTACCATTCACCATAAGGCTTTAGGTTATGTATAATCCAGAGTACCATTCACTGTGAGGCTTTAGGTTATGTATAATCCAGAGTACCATTCACTGTGAGGCTTTAGGTTATGTATAATTCAGAGTACCATTCACCCTAAGGCTTTAGGTGCCTACTTGTCATATTATAGTATTAGGCCTGTAAGGTGCCTACTTGTCATATAGTATTTGGCCTGTAAGGTGCCTTCTTGTCATATAGTATTTGGCCGGTAAGGTTCCTACTGGTCATATAGTATTTGGCCTGTAAGGTGCCTACTTGTCATCTAGTATTTGGCCTGTAAGGTGCCTACTTGTCATATTGTATTTGGCCTGTAAGGTGCCTACTGGTCATATAGTATTTGGCCTGTAAGGTGCCTACTTGTCATATAGTATTTGGCCTTGAAGGTGCCTGCTGGTCATATAGTATTTGGCCAGTAAGGTGCCTACTTGTCCTATAGTATTTGACCTGTAAGGTGCCAGCTTGTCCTATAGTATTTAGCCTGTAAGGTGCCTACTTGTCATATAGTATTTGGCCTTGAAGGTGCCTGCTGGTCATATAGTATTTGGCCTGTAAGGTGCCTACTTGTCATATAGTATTTGGCCTGTAAGGTGCCTGCTTGTCCTATAGTATTTAGCCTTTAAGGTGCCTACTTGTCATATAGTATTTGGCCTGTAAGGTGCCTTCTTGTCATATAGTATTTGGCCGGTAAGGTGCCTACTTGTCATATAGTATTTGGCCTGTAAGGTGCCTTCTGGTCATATAGTATTTGGCCTGTAAGGTGCCTGCTTGTCCTATAGTATTTAGCCTGTAAGGTGCCTACTTGTCATATAGTATTTGGCCGGTAAGGTGCCTACTTGTCATATAGTATTTGGCCTATCAGGTGCCTACTGGACATATAGTATTTTGCCTGTAAGGTGCCTACTTGTCATATAGTATTTGGCCTGTAAGGTGCGGGGGTGTCCTATAGTATTTGGCCTATAACGTGTCTACTGGGCATATAGTATTTGGCCTGTAAGGTGCCTACTTGTCCTATAGTATTTGGCCTTTAAGGTGCCTACTGGTCATATAGGATTTGGCCTGTAAGGTGCCTACTTGTTATATAGTATTTGGCCTGTAAGGGGCCTACTTGTCCTATAGTATTTGGCCTATAACGTGTCTAATGGTCATATAGTATTTGGCCTGTAAGGTGCCTACTTTTCATATAGTATTTGGCCTGTAAGGTGCCTACTTGTTATATAGTATTTGGCCTGTAAGGTGCCTACTTGTCCTATAGTATTTGGCCTTTAAGGTGCCTACTGGTCATATAGGATTTGGCCTGTAAGGTGCCTACTTGTCCTATAGTATTTGCCCTGTAAGGTGCCTGCTTGTCCTATAGTATTTAGCCTGTAAGGTGCCTACTTGTCATATAGGATTTGGCCTGTAAGGTGCCTACTTGTCCTATAGTATTTGACCTGTAAGGTGCCTGCTTGTCCTATAGTATTTAGCCTTTAAGGTGCCTACTTGTCATATAGTATTTGGCCTGTAAGGTGCGGGGGTGTCCTATAGTATTTGGCCTATAACGTGTCTACTGGGCATATAGTATTTGGCCTGTAAGGTGCCTACTTGTCCTATAGTATTTGGCCTTTAAGGTGCCTACTGGTCATATAGGATTTGGCCTGTAAGGTGCCTACTTGTTATATAGTATTTGGCCTGTAAGGTGCCTACTTGTCATCTAGTATTTGGCCTGTAAGGTGCCTACTTGTCATATAGTATGTGGCCTGTAAGGTGCCTACTTGTCATATAGTATTTGGCCTGTAAGATGGTGGACATTGGTGAATTACCAGAGTATTTTTCAAATGAATGACTTTGACATACTTTCAATGTCACGGTGGCAATTTTGTAAAAATCTTATAATTAAAGAGTCTTGTTCTTGATCCATTAGGCCCAGAGTAGCTTGCTTGAATAATGATATTCTAATATAATAATAAAGCTTGACCAATTTTTTAGGAAACAAAAACCAATTATACAATTAATCTCTAAACAACTTCTAAAAAAGACTGAATTTATTTTAGTTGTCCTGTGATTTGCTGGTGTGAAAGGATATTTTTTTGTCTTAATAAATGACCTTGACCCTCTTTGGTCATGGGTCAAATGTACGAGAAAGTTAAAACAACTTGAGAGGCCCTGGCTAGAGTACAGTAATATGAAGCCTGTTGCTTGCTGGGATTACACATTTGTTTTATATTTGACCTTTATCCATTTTGAAGGTCACAGAATTGTGGTGAATAGCTTGTTTACATGTAGGTGAGTGGTGCAGGCCCATCAGGCCTCTTGTTTAAAAAGAACTAAAGAAAGTGAAGTTTTATTTTAAAAATAATACTGTTAATTATTCTATTATTTTGTACATTTTCAATTCTGCAGGTGAAACTGTATCTGTTACAAGTGAGCGGAGTTTCCAGCGGCTATTTCTACCCCCAGGTACATGTGATAGGACAACCTACAACTAAGCTCGACCCTATGGGCATGTAGTAAGTACAAGCTTAGGTATTTCTACCCCCAGGTACATGTGATAGGACAACCTTCAACTAAGCTCGACCCTATGGGCATGTAGTAAGTACAATCTTAGGTATTTCTACCCCAGGTACATGTGATAGGACAACCTACAGCTAAGCTCCACCCTTTGGGCATGTAGTAAGTACAATCTTAGGTATTTCTACCCCCAGGTACATGTGATAGGACAACCTACAACTAATCTCCACCCTATGGGCCTGTAGTAAGTACAAGCTCAGGTACAGTGTGGTGAGCTGTATATGTTACACAGTTCTACAAAACCTTCACAATTAAAACAGCATTAAAAATTAGTCTAAGACGGCCCATTGTCTATATGGCTTCAAAAATAAGATGGCCTTGAAAAAAGGCTGTCTTTAAAAATAGACCAACAATTCCTTAAAGCTGGGACTGTGAAATTATACCTTAATGATTACAAAGAAATGGTGACAGAGAAATCATACTCTAGAGGGTGACAGAGAAATCATACACTAGAGGGCGACAGGGAAATCATACTCTAGAGGGAGACAGAGAAATCATACCCTAGAGGGTGACAGAAAAATCATACCCTAGAGGGTGACAGAGAAATCATACCATAATGGTTACAGAGAAATCATACCCTAGAGGGTGACAGGAAAATCATAACCTACAGGGTGACAGAGAAATCATACACTAGAGGGTGACAGAGAAATCATACACTAGAGGGTGACAGAAAAATCCGACCCTAGAGGGTGACGGAGAAATCATACCCTAGATGGTAACTAATAGAATCTTCCCCTACATCGAGGGTGTGACAGAGACATCTCCAGCCCGAGGGGTGATGTTTTTTTTGGTTGTCTAACCCGAGGCTATCTCCCCCTAGGGGGTGACAAGCTGCTCTTTCCCGGCTAAAATGGGAGACACACCTGTGAAGGGTGGGAGAAAGTGTAATTATACTCTATAGGGTGACAGAGATATCTTAAGCAGGGAAATGAAGTGGCAGCTGGATCTTTGACTTCGGGAGAAAACAAATCTCCATGGTTACCAAATTTGTCATAAGCCTGTGAACAATATAGATTCCATAAAAAATATGTAAATTTTGAAAGTTGTACATTTTTGCCTATACATGTATATTTAGTGTGTAAACCAATTGTATTAAATGTTATATTATTACAATGTAGAGATACTGAGAATGTTCCCCATTTTTTCAAGTTTTATGCAGATCAGTGGTGACTTGGAGGACCTAGAGGGGGCACTCCACAAACCCACCAAGTCTCACGTACTTGGATCAGGCTCTTGCTCTGCACTTGTCAAATTACTTCCTGGTGCCAAGGACTTGTTTGTGAGCCACGACACCTGGAGCAGTTACATGAGCATGTTGAGGGTTCTCAAGAAATATGACCTCCCTTTCCACGACTCCCAAGGTAATATTGTCTGTCTTTACACGGCTCTGAAGATATTTATCTCTCTTTTCACGACACCCAGGGTAATTGTCTGCCTTAACACAGCTCTCAAGATATTTATCTCCACTTTCACGACTCCCAGGGTAATAATCTGCATTTACACAGCTCTCAAGATATTTATCTCCCTTTCCACGACTCCCAGGGTAATATTGTCTGTCTTAACACTGCTCTCAAGATGTTCATCTGTCTTTCCTTAACTCCCAGGGTAATTTGATGCCAGGACTGTGTAGTTATCTCTAATGATGAAATTTGTAAATTATTTGAAAGTTTGTGTGAGTATTGAAGGATTAATTCCTCTGTTGTCAGGAAAGATTGTACCTGCCCAGACGATGAGTTTTTCTTCCTACCCAGGGTCAGTGATGTCTGGGGATGATTACTACCTCCTCAGTTCTGGACTAGTAAGTATATCTCCTCAGTTCTGGACTGGTAAGTATATCTCCTCAGTTCTGGACTAGTAAGTGTATCTCCTCAGTTCTGGACTAGTAAGTATATCTCCTCAATTCTGGACTAGTAAGTATATCTCCTCAGTTCTGAACTAGTAAGTATATCTCCTCAGTTCTGGACTAGTAAGTGTATCTCCTCAGTTCTGGACTAGTAAGTATATCTTCTCAGTTCTGGACTAGTAAGTATATCTCCTCAGTTATGGACTAGTAAGTATATCTCCTCAGTTCTGGACCAGTAAGTATATCTCCTCAGTTCTGGACTAGTAAGTGTATCTCCTCAGTTCTGGACTAGTAAGTATATCTCTTCAGTTCTGGACTAGTAAGTATATCTCCTCAGTTGTGGACTAGTAAGTATATCTCCTCAGTTCTGGACCAGTAAGTATATCTCCTCAGTTCTGGACTAGTAAGTGTATCTCCTCAGTTCTGGACTAGTAAGTATATCTCCTCAATTCTGGACTAGTAAGTATATCTCCTCAGTTCTGGAATAGTAAGTATATCTCCTCAGTTCTGGACTAGTACGTATATCTCCTCAGTTCTGGACTAGTAAGTATACCTCCTCAGTTCTGGACTAGTAAGTATATCTCTTCAGTTCTGGACTAGTAAGTATATCTCCTCAGTTCTGGACCAGTAAGTATATCTCCTCAGTTCTGGACTAGTAAGTGTATCTCCTCAGTTCTGGACTAGTAAGTATATCTCGTCAGTTCTGGACTAATAAGTATATCTCGTCAGTTCTGGACTAGTAAGTATATCTCGTCAGTTCTGGACTAGTAAGTATATCTCCTAAGTCCCGGTCTAGTAAGTATATCTCCTAAGTCCTGGTCTAGTAAGTATATCTCCTAAGTCCTGGTCTAGTAAGTATATCTCCTCAGTTCTGGACTAGTAAGTATATCTCCTTAGTTCTGATGATATTTTGCTATTAGCCTGGTGGAATAAAGGGCCTCCAAGTTGGTTCAAAATAATTACTTTGACCCACCTTCAAGGTCACTAGGGTCAATTATTTCAAAATAATCAAATAACTTTTTGGGAATAACCAAAAGGCCCAGAGTAATGTATCTGGTAAGGAGAGAACTGGTATGGAAGGGCTAGCAAGTTTGTTCTAATTAATGACCTTCACTCATATTTAAGGTCACAGGGTGTAAAATACGTTAAAACTTTCACTGACTTCTTCTGATTTACAAAAAAAGCATAAGGTCACGATATTTAGCCAGTAGCATGTTCTGATGAATAGCTATCAAGATTGTTGATATGAATGACCTTGACCCCCTTTCAAGGTCACATATTGTCAAATATGTATAAACCTATAAATTATCTCATCTCAATAAACAAAAGGTCTGAAGTGATGATATTTGGCAAGTCGAATGCTGGGATCAAGGGCTATTAATTTAATGACCTTGTTTGACTTTTAAGGTCACAGAGGTCAAATATGTATTAGTCATAGATACTGATATATAGCTTGTAGCTTTATTTTAAGGTTACAAGTGTGAGATTTGTAGCAGGTGTGACACAGGCCTATTGGGCCCCTTGTTAGAACATGAGAGCAATATTATCGTTATGATACATGTGTAACCCTGTGGTACTCTCCTCGTGACGATTTGCTTAGGCTCCATCTTTTTTAATAAGAAAGCATTATAATTTCATATCTAATTTAACAATTAAATATTTTTATTTTGGTGAATACGTATATACATATTTTTAAGCTATTATACATTATTGTAATGCTTTGTGCCTTTAGGGCGAAGTGTAACAGAATACATGAAAAAAACTTGTCATGCTACAAACTGCTGTGCTTTTTAGCTCACCTGGCATGAAGTATCAGTTGAGCTTATGGTATGGTGTGTTGTCTAGATCTGTAATCCGTTGTCTGTCTGTCGTCTGTCATCCATCCACTGTCCGTCGACTTTTTCTTCGAGGACTTCTTCTTAAGAACTCGAGGATCTAGGGCCGTCATATTTGACCAGTACCTACCAGGGAAGGAGTGCTATAAAAGTTCAAATAAATGACCTTTATGTAGCTTCAAGGTAACAGGGGTCAAATAAATAAATATCTTTGAACAACTACTTCTAAACAAAAGGCCCAATGGGCCTGTATCACTCACCTGGTATTAATCTCACAATTGTAACCTTAAGAGTGGACTAAAATAAAGCTACAGGCAAAATATCAGTGTTTTGTCTTAAGTCATTCGAAAGAACCTGTTAAATGATTAAAACACATTTGACCCCTGTGACCTTAAAGTCAAACATGGACATTAAATTGAACAAACTCTATAGCCTTCCTCACTGAATGCAACTTGTCAAACATCACCCTAATGGCCCTATACCTTTTGTTTATTGAGGTGATTTTTAAAGATTTATGCACTTTGGACCAAATGTGAGCTTGAAAGTATGTCAATGTCATTCACATGAACACAGATCACCCGGGAACCTTAAGTTATTCAAAAGTTGTTTTTAAATGTTTTTAAGACAAATAACCCCTGTGACCTTGAATATGGTCATTAATTTAAACAAACTTGGTAGTGTGTCATCCCAACATACTACTGGCCAAATATCACCCTGGGTATTTTGGTTATTCAGAAGAAGTCGTTTAAAGATTTTAACATATTTGACCCCTGTGACCTTGAATATGAGTTAAGGTCATTTATTTGAACAAACTTTGTAGCCCTTCATCCCAGCATGCTACTGGTTGAATATCATCAGCATGGGCCTGTTGGTTATTTAGAGGAAGTTGTTTAATAGTTTAAACATATTTGACCCCTGTGACCTTTAAAATCGCCAAAGGTCATTTCTTTTTGCAAACTTGTTGGGCTTCATCTCATTTCCCTATCAGCCAAAGATCATGCTTCTGGGCTTTTCAGTTGATCAGAAGAAGTCATTTAAAGGTTTTAACAGATTTGACACCTATGACCTTGAATATGGGTCAAGGTAATTTCTTTTCGCAAACTTTATCAGGCTTCATCCTAGGAACCTATCAACCAAATATCACGCTTCTTGGCCTTTTAGTTAATCAGAAGAAGTCGTTTAAAGGTTTTAACAAATTTGACCCCTGTGACCTTGAATATGTGTCAAGGTTATTTCTTTTCTTAAACTTTGTCAGGCTTTATCCTAGGAACCTATCAGCCAAATATCATGCTTCTGGGCCTTTTGGTTAATCAGAAGAAGTCGTTTAAAGGTTTTAACAAATTTGACCCCTGTGACCTTGAATATGGGTCAAAATCATTTCTTTTCACAAACTTTGTCAGGCTTCATCTTAGGAACCTATCAGCCAAATATCACGCTTCTGGGCCTGTTGGTTAATCAGAAGAAGTTGTTTAGAGGTTTTAACAAATTTGACCCCTGTGACGTTGAATATGGGTCAAGGTCATTTCTTTTTGCAAACTTTGTTGGGCTTTATCCCAGCAACCAACTAGCTAAATATCATGACATTTGGCTCGTTGGTTATTGAGAAGAAGTCGTTCAAATGGAAAAGTTTACGCCGGGCGGACACCGGACGGACGCCGGACGCCGTGCCACGGCATAACCATGAGGCAAAGAGCAATGATAGTTGGCCAGTAGATACCTTGGATGAAGTGCTATTAAGTAGCCTCAATTGGATTACCTTGACCAATTTTAAAGGTCACATGGGTCAAATATATAAAGCTCTTTAAACAACTTCTGAAGAATAACCAGGAGGCCTAGGGTGACGATATTTGGCCAGTAGGTACCTTGGATGTAGTACTATTAACTTCCTCAAATAAATGACCTTGACCTCTTTTCAAGACCACAAGCATAAAAAAAACCCATTTTAAATAACTTCTGAATAACCAAAAGGCCTAGAGTAATTAAATTTGGCCAGTAGGTACCTGGGATGGAGTGATATAAAGTTTCTTTCAATGAATGACGCCAACCTACTTTCAAGGCCAAAGTGATCAAATATCTAAAAATGTTTTACACAACTTCTTAATTACCAGAAGGGCCAGGATGATGATTTTTAGCCAGTAGGTACCTGGTATTTATTGCTATCAAGTTACATCAAATTGATGACCTTGACTTAATATTTTGAAGGTCACTGGGGTAAAATATGTTAAAAATTTTCTGAATAACTAAAATACATATGGTGATGGTATTCGGTCAGTGGCATACTTTGATGTGGTGCTAAAAAGTTTTCTTCAATGAATGACCTTGACAGATTTTTAAGGTCATAGTGGTCAAATATATAAAAAAAAAAAAACAACTTCTGAATAACCAGAAGACCCAGGGCAATGATAGTTGGTCAGTAGGTACCTGGCATGGAATTCTATAAAGTTTTCCCAATAAATGGCCTTGACGTATTTCTAAGGTCAAAGGGGTCACCTTTAAACGACTTCTTCTTCATTTACGAAGAGGCCCTTAATGATGACCAGTAGCATGCTTACATATAGTACTCTCGCACCTCATACAGAGATATCCCTTGTCAAACCCCATACTAGATGTTTCTATCTCGTCTGATCTGTTTGGTACCTTTACGTGACATTTCACGAAGTTTTAACACAGCGATGTATTCATCCGCACGTTAACGGCTTGAAATCACCATTTGCATTATAAATATTCTGTTTTGTCGTTGTATGTATTGATTTGATGTTGTTAGATATCTGATGTCTATAGATAAACTATAATTTACACTGTGAAATACAGTGTCTACTTTGTAAGGTTGGACTACCTTTTTTATGCGGAAGCATTCAAATGCAGCTTGACCTGATCTGACTCAGTTACAGGTAGTAGATTTCATAATGAAGTTTCATTAAATCTGGAACATTTCTAGGCCACGAATATTGAATCTTTGGAAATATATGCAAAATTCCTTTTATTGAGAATATTTGCCCATGATTGCTATATTATCCAGGTGAGCAATACAGGCCCTCTGGGCCTCTTGCTTTTATAAATATTGGAAATTGTTTTAATTTACTTTGTTTCCATAGAAAAATAATGCTAACGTGCCAAAAAACATCAAAATACCTTAAATTTGACTAAATTAAAGACTTCAATCTTTTCCCAGGGGGAGGGGTGTGTTATGCCTCTAGATCCACCTGGATGGCTTTTACACCTTCAGTGCTTGGAAAGGGACCTTTGTCCTGTTAATTGCATGCATTTAGCACCATGAGTTATCAGTCCTGGATCTGTTTATTGATCCTTGATCCACCTCTGAATACAGAAATGTTTATTGAAACTGTGGGCAACTGATGAAACTGCTTATGTGGAGAGTTCATTTGATTCTAACACATGTGCACGATCAGATACACAATTCAATATTTTGAATCCGGCATAAAAATTGTCACAGTAATACCTTGTGTGACAATATCAGATAGTAGTGTTAAGATAGCTAATCTGATAAATTGAATATGAGACATACATGGTTACATGGTATTTACTAGGTAAGTATGGAGACAACAATTGGAAACTCAAATGACACCCTGTGGTCCTACATCCATCCCACAGAGAGTGTTCCTGAGGGCATCAGGTCAATGGTAGCCAACCGGATAGCTAGGACAGGCAAGGAATGGGTGGATGCCTTCGCACACTTCAACAGTGGCACGTAAGTACAGGTATTAGTGCCTCTGGTTACATCTACCACAGTACAGTCCAACCTGCTCATGTAACATTCCACAGTGATACATATCTACCACAGTACAGTCCAACCTGCTCATGTAGCATTCCACAGTGGTACATATCTACCACAGTATAGTCCAACCTGCTCATTTAACATTCCACAGTCTCATTTAACATTTCACAGTGGTACATATCTACCACAGTACAGACCAACCTGCTCATTTAACATTTCACAGCAGGTATTAGTGCCTCTGGTTACATCTACCACAGTACAGTCCAACCTGCTCATGTAGCATTCCACAGTGGTACATATCTACCACAGTAGAGACCAACCTGCTAATGTAACATTCCACAGTGGTACATATCTACCCCAGTACAGTCCAACCTGCTCATTTAACATTTCACAGTGGTACATATCTACACAGTACAGTCGAACCTGCTCATGTAACATTCCATAGTGGTATATATCTACCACAGTACAGTCCAACCTGCTCATTTAACATTCCACAGTCTCATTTAACATTTCACAGTGGTACATATCTACACAGTACAGTCGAACCTGCTCATGTAACATTCCACAGTGGTACGTATCTACCACAGTACAGTCCAACCTGCTCATGTAGCATTCCACAGTGGTACATATCTACCACAGTAGAGACCAACCTGCTCATGTAACATTCCACAGTGGTCCATATCTACCACAGTACAGTCCAACCTGCTCATGTAGCATTCCACAGTGGTACATATCTACCACAGTATAGTCCAACCTGCTCATGTAACATTCCACAGTGATACATATCTACCACAGTACAGTCCAACCTGCTCATTTAACATTTCACAGTGGTACATATCTACCACAGTACAGTCGAACCTGCTCATGTAACATTCCACAGTGGTATATATCTACCACAGTACAGTCCAACCTGTTCATGTAACATTCCACAGTGGTACATATCTACCACAGTACAGTCCAACCTGCTCATTTAACATTCCACAGTGGTACATATCTACCACAGTACAGTTCAACCTGCTCATGTATTATTCCACAGTGGTACATATCTACCACAGAACAGTTGAACCTGCGCATGTAACATTCCACAGTGGTACATATCTACCACAGTACAGTCCAACCTGCGCATGTAACATTCCACAGTGGTACATATCTACCACAGTACAGTTCAACCTGCTCATGTAATATTCCACAGTGGTACATATCTACCACAGTATAGTCCCACCTGCTCATTTAACATTCCACAGTGGTACATATCTACCACAGTACAGACCGACCTGCTCATTTAATATTCCACAGTGGTACATATCTACCACAGTATAGTCCAACCTGCTCATTTAACATTCCACAGTGGTACATATCTACCACAGTTCAGTCCAACCTGCTCATTTAACATTCCACAGTGGTACATATCTTTGTTGTATGTATAACTTTGTTGTAGGTATAACTTTGTTTTAGGTATAACTTTGTTGTCGGTATAACATTGTTGTAGGGATAACTTTGTTGTAGGTGTAACTTTGTTGTATGTGTAACTTTGTTGTAGGTACAACTTTGTTTTATGTATAAGTTTGTTGTAGGTCTAACTTTGTTGTAGGTACAACTTTGTTTTAGGTATAGCTCTGTTGTAGGTATAAGTTTGTTGTAGGTCTAACTTTGTTGTAGGTACATATCTACCACAGTATAGTCGAACCTGCTCACGTAACATTCCACAGTGGTATATATCTACCACAGTACAGCCCGACCTGCTCATTTAATATTACACAGTGGTACATATCTTTGTCGTATGTATAACTTTGTTGCAGGTATAACTTTGTTTTATGTATAAGTTTGTTGTATGTATAACGTTGTTGTAGGTATAACTTTTTTGTTGGTAAAACATTGTTGTAGGTATGACATTGTTGTAGGTATAACGTTGTAGGTATAACTTTTTTGTTGGTAAAACATTGTTGTAGGTATACATATCTACCACAGTTCAGTCCGACCTGCTCATTTAACATTCCACCGTGGTACATATCTTTGTTGCATGTATAACTTTGTTGTAGGTACATATCTACCACAGTTCAGTCCGACCTGCTCATTTAACATTCCACCGTGGTACATATCTTTGTTGTATGTTTAACTTTGTTGTCGGCATAACTTTGTTGTATGTATAACTTTGTAGTAGGTATAACTTTGTTTTAGGTATAACTCTGTTGTAGGTATAACTTTGTTGTAGGTATAACTTTGTTGTATGTATAACTTTGTTGTCGGTATAACATTGTTGTATGTATAACTCTGTTTTAGGTATAACTTTGTTGTAGGTATAACTTTGTTGTAGGTATAACTTTGGTGTTGTTATAACTTTGTTGTAGGTATAACTTTGGTGTAGTTATAACTTTGTTGTAGGTATAACATTGTTGTAGGTATAACATTGTTGTAGGTATAACTTTGGTGTAGTTATAACTTTGTTTTAGGTATAACTTTGTTGTAGGTATAACTTTGTTTTAGGTATAACATTGTTGTAGGTATAACTTTGTTGTATGAATAACTTTGTTGTAGGTACAACTTTGTTGTAGGTATAACTTTGTTGTAGGTATAACATTGTTGTAGGTATAACTTTGTTGTATGTATAACTTTGGTGTAGTTATAACATTGTTGTAGGTATAACTTTGTTGTAAGTATAACATTGTTGTAGGTATAACATTGTTGTATGTATAACTTTGGTGTAGTTATAACTTTGTTGTAGGTATAACTTTGTTGTATGTATAACTTTGTTTTAGGTATAACTTTGTTTGAGGTATAACATTGTTGTAGGTATAACTTTGTTGTAGGTATAACTTTGTTGTCGGTATAACATTGTTGTAGGTATAACTTTGTTGTAGGTATAACATTGTTGTAGGTATAACTTTGTTGTAGGTATAACTTTGTTGTAGGTATAACTTTGTTGTAGGTATAACTTTGTTGTAGGTATAACTTTGTTGTAGGTATAACTTTGTTGTAGGTATAACTTTGTTGTAGGTATAACTTTGTTGTAGGTATAACTTTGTTGTAGGTATAACTTTGTTGTAGGTATAACTTTGTTGTAGGTATAACTTTGTTGTAGGTATAACTTTGTTGTAGGTATAACTTTGTTGTAGGTATAACTTTGTTGTAGGTATAACTTTGTTGTAGGTATAACTTTGTTGTAGGTATAACTTTGTTGTAGGTATAACATTGTTGTAGGTATAACTTTGTTGTAGGTATAACTTTGTTGTAGGTATAACTTTGTTGTAGGTATAACTTTGTTGTAGGTATAACTTTGTTGTAGGTATAACTTTGTTGTAGGTATAACTTTGTTGTAGGTATAACTTTGTTGTAGGTATAACTTTGTTGTAGGTATAACTTTGTTGTAGGTATAACTTTGTTGTAGGTATAACTTTGTTGTAGGTATAACTTTGTTGTAGGTATAACTTTGTTGTAGGTATAACTTTGTTGTAGGTATAACTTTGTTGTAGGTATAACTTTGTTGTAGGTATAACTTTGTTGTAGGTATAACATTGTTGTAGGTATAACTTTGTTGTATGTATAACTTTGTTGTATGTATAACTTTGGTGTAGTTATAACATTGTTGCAGGTATAACTTTGTTGTAGGTATAACTTTGTTGTATGTATAACTTTGTTGTAGGTATAACTTTGTTGTAGTTATAACTTTGTTGTAGGTATAACTTTTTTGTTGGTAAAACATTGTTGTAGGTATAACTCTGTTGTAGGTATAACTTTGTTGTTGTTATAACTTTGTTGTAGGTATAACTTTGTTTTAGGTATAACTTTGTTGTAAGTATAACATTGTTGTAGGTATAACTTTGTTGTAGGTATAACTTTGTTGTAGTTATAACTTTGTTGTAGGTATAACTTTTTTGTTGGTAAAACATTGTTGTAGGTATAACTTTGTTGTAGGTATAACTTTGTTGTAGTTATAACTTTGTTGTAGGTATAACTTTTTTGTTGGTAAAACATTGTTGTAGGTATAACTTTGTTGTAGGTATAACATTGTTGTAGGTATAACTTTGTTGTAGGTATAACATTGTTGTAGGTATAACTTTGTTGTAGGTATAACTTTGGTGTAGTTATAACTTTGTTGTAGGTATAACTTTGTTGTAGTTATAACTTTGTTGTAGGTATAACAATGAGTGGATGGTTGTGGACTACAAACAATTTGTTCCAGGGAGGACAGATCTGACAGGAGTCTTGTATGTTCTGGAACAAATTCCGTAAGTAAACACTGCAAAATACTTCACATGTTATTGCTTCAAACACCACAAACAGCAGATGACACATGTAAACTGTCAAACACCGAAAACATCAGATGACACCTGTAAATTATCAAACATCAGATGACACATGTAAACTAACAAACACCACAAACAGAGACTCCAACAGTACATTTGTATGCCAGAGACTCCAACAGTACATTTGTATGTCAGAGACTCCAACAGTACATTTGTATGCCAGAGATTCCAACAGTACATTTTTATGTCAGAGACTCCAACAGTACATTTGTATGCCAGAGATTCCAATAGTACATTTTTATGTCAGAGACTCCAACAGTACATTTGTATGACAGAGACTTCAACAGTACATTTGTATGTGAGAGACTTCAACAGTACATTTGTATGACAGAGACTTCAACAGAACATTTGTATGTTAGAGACTTCAACAGTACATTTGTATGTGAGAGACTTCAACAGTACATTTGTATGACAGAGACTTCAACAGGACATTTGTATGTCAGAGACTTCAACAGTACATTTGTATAACAGAGACTTCAACAGTACATTTGTATGACAGAGACTTCAACAGGACATTTGTATGTCAGAGACTTCAACAGTGCATTTGTATGTCAGAGACTCCAACGGTACATTTGTATGACAGAGACTTCAACAGGACATTTGTATGTCAGAGACTTCAACAGTGCATTTGTATGTCAGAGACTCCAACGGTACATTTGTATGACAGAGACTTCAACAGGACATTTGTATGTCAGAGACTTCAACAGTACAATTTGTATATCAGAGACTTCAACAGTACATTTGTATAACAGAGACTTCAACAGTACATTTGTATGTGAGAGACTTCAACAGTACATTTGTATGACAGAGCCTTCAACAGTACATTTGTATGTCAGAGACGCCAAGAGAACATTTGTATGTCAGAGACTTCAACAGTGCATTTGTATGTCAGAGACTCCAACGGTACATTTGTATGACAGAGACTTCAACAGAACATTTGTATGTTAGAGACTTCAACAGTACATTTGTATGTGAGAGACTTCAACAGTACATTTGTATGACAGAGACTTCAACAGAACATTTGTATGTTAGAGACTTCAACAGTACATTTGTATGTCAGAGATTCCAACAGTACATTTTTGTGTCAGAGACTCCAACAGTACATTTGTATGCCAGAGAATCCAACAGTACATTTGTATGTCAGAGACACCAATAGAACATTTGTATGTCAGAGACTTCAACAGTGCATTTGTATGTCAGAGACTCCAACGGTACATTTGTATGCCAGAGACTTCAACAGTACATTTGTATGCCAGAGACTCCAACAGTACATTTGTATGCCAGAGAATCCAACAGTACATTTGTATGTCAGAGACTCCAACAGTACATTTGTATGTCAGAGATTCCAACAGTACATTTTTATGTCAGAGACTCCAACAGTACATTTGTATGACAGAGACTTCAACAGTACATTTGTATGTCAGACTTCAACAGTACATTTGTATGCCAGAGACGCCAATAGAACATTTGTATGCCAGAGACTTCAACAGTACATTTGTATGTCAGAGACTCCAACAGTACATTTGTATGCCAGAGACTTCAACAGTACATTTGTATGACAGAGACTTCAATAGAACATTTGTATGTCAGAGACTTCAACAGTACATTTGTATGTCAGAGACTTCAACAGTACATTTGTATGTCAGAGACTTCAACAGTACATTTGTATGTCAGAGACTCCAATAGTACATTTGTATGCCAGAGACTCCAACAGTACATTTGTATGACAGAGACTGCAATAGTACATTTGTATGTCAGAGACTTCAACAGTACATTTGTATGTCAGAGACTTCAACAGTACATTTGTATGTCAGAGACTTCAACAGTACATTTGTATGTCAGAGACTCCAACAGTACATTTGTATGTCAGAGACTCCAATAGTACATTTGTATGCCAGAGATTCCAACAGTACATTTGTATGACATAGACTCAATATTTCTGTAGAGGATGTATTTTAAAAACAAAGTTGATTGTCTTGTAATTGTATTTGTGTAATTTCTTAGTTATTACTATTTAACTTGTTTAGAAAGCTGACTTCCAGTTTAATCTACCTTTTGAAGAAAACAACAATTGTCAATGTAGTGATTTCAATATTTCATTACTTTATGAAGCTGCCTATGATATTAGCTGTTAGTGGAGAGATAGAAATGTACATATTTTCGAACGAATAACAAACTCATTGTCAGTTTATCATTTAAAATACCACATAGTTGGTTTAGCTGCATATCTAACATTTGGAGATTTTTTTTTAAAAACAGCGAAGTTTCACAACTAATCAATTATTATGTTTAAAAAAAGCATTTTAAAATGTTTTTTCAAGCACACTTATTTCTATGCGTTAAACTTTTCTCAAATAACTGATGTTCACCTACAGTAAAACTGGAATAAATCCTCGGGGCCAATACAAATATGTGATCTCGGGGCCAATACAAATATGTGATCTCGGGGCCAATACAAATATGTGATTTATCTGATTATTCGACTCTTCCCTGTTGTATAGATAGTGTTGGAGAACTTGAATGATCTGAGATGTATTCCGTTATCTGTTAGAGAATCTCAGAATAAAATCAACATGTAATCGTCATGTTTTTGATGCAGTGAAATGATTTTATAGCAGTTAAATGAATTTTAATACTGGAAATATTTTCAAACATTAACAAATAAATTACATACCTCTAGATAAATTATTATACCCCCCACAATGAAGCTTAAATATCCAGGTGAGTAATACAGGCCCTCTAGGCCTCTTGTTAGGAGTTTGGTTTATGCAATTGAATTTTGTTTGAAAATAATGAATTCATTTTGATATCTGTTTTCCTATGTTACAGGGGATTGATTGAGTACGAGGACCTGACTCCGCTGCTAATGAAACAAACTTACTGGCCGAGCTACAATGTACCGTAAGTAAAACACACTTACTGGCCGAGCTACAATGAACCGTAAGTAAAACACACTTACTGGCGGAGCTATAATGTACCGTAAGTAAAACACACTTACTGGCCGAGCTATAATGTACCGTAAGTAAACCCACTTACTGGACAAGCTACAATGTACCGTAAGTAAAACACACTTACTGGCGGAGCTATAATGTACCGTAAGTAAAACCCACTTACTGGCCGAGCTACAATGTACCGTAAGTCAAACAAACTTACTGGCCGAGCTACAATGTACCGTAAGTAAAACACACTTCCTGGCCGAGCTACAATGTACCGTAAGTAAAACACAATTACTGGCCGAGCTACAATGTACCGTAAGTAAAACACACTTACTGGACAAGCTACAATGTACCGTAAGTAGAATTAACAGCTATACGTGGTGATTTAATGTTAAGTGTCTAATCTGTTCATGTGTCTGATCTGTTCAAGTTAAGTGTCATATCTGTTCATGTGTCATATCAAGTCATAACAACAGGTAAACAACAGAACAGTATAACAGTGTATCATCACAGTCATAACAACAGGTAAACAACAAAACAGTATAACAGTGTATCATCACAGTCATATGTGTCTGATCTGTTCAAGTTAAGTGTCATATCTGTTCATGTGTCATATCAAGTCATAACAACAGGTAAACAACAGAACAGTATGACAGTGTATCATCACAGTCATAACAACAGGTAAACAACATAACAGTGTATCATCACAGTCATAACAGGAAAAAAACAGAACAGTATAACAGTGTATCATTACAGTCATAACAACAGGTAAACAACAGAACCGTATAACCCTGTATCATCACAGTCATAACACCAGGTAAACAACAGAACAGTATAACAATGTATCATCACAGTTACCGTAAGTAAAACACACTTACTGGCGGAGCTATAATGTACCGTAAGTAAAACACACTTACTGGCCGAGCTACAATGTACCGTAAGTAAAACACACTTACTGGACAAGCTACAATGTACCGTAAGTAGAATTAACAGCTATACGTGGTGATTTAATGTTAAGTGTCTAATCTGTTCATTTGTCTGATCTGTTCAAGTTAAGTGTCATATCTGTTCATGTGTCATATCAAGTCATAACAACAGGTAAACAACAGAACATTATAACAGTGTATCATCACAGTCATAACAACAGGGAAACAACAGAACAGTATAACAATGCATCATCACAGTCATAACAACATGGACAGATCAGATACTTAACATGAACAGATCAGACACTTAACATGAACAGATTAGACACTTAACATGAACAGATATGACACTTAACATGAACAGATTACACACTTAAAAAGAAAAGTTAGGACACATGAACAGACATGACACGTAACATGAACATATATGTCACTTAACATGAACAGATATAACACTTAACATGAACAGATATGACACTTATAACAACAGGTAAACAACAGAACTGTATAACAATGCATCATCACAGTCATAACAACATGGACAGATCAGACACATAACATGAACAGATCAGACACTTAACATGAACAGATTAGACACTTAACATGAACAGATATGACACTTAACATGAACAGGTATGACACTTAACATGAACAGATTACACACTTAAAAAGAAAAGTTAGGACACATGAACAGACATGACACGTAACATGAACATATATGTCACTTAACATGAACAGATATAACACTTAACATGAACAGATATGACACTTATAACAACAGGTAAACAACAGAACTGTATAACAATGTATCATCACAGTCATAACATCAGGTAAACAACAGAACAGTATAACAATGTATCATAACAGTCATAACAGGTAAACAACAGAACAGTATAACAATGCATCATCACAGTCATAACAACATGGACAGATCAGACACTTAACATGAACAGATCAGACACTTAACATGAACAGATTAGACACTTAACATGAACAGATATGACACTTTACATGAACAGATTACACACTTAACATGCACAGATATGACACTTAACATGAACAGATATGACACTTAACATGAACAGATTACACACTTAACATGCACAGATATGACACTTAACATGAACAGATATGACACTTAACATGAACAGATATGACACTTAACATGAAAAGATCGGACACATGAACAGATATGACATGTTACATGAACAGATATGACACTTAAATGAACAGATGAGACATGTAACATGAACAGATAAGACACGTAACATGAACAGATTAGACACATGAACAGATATGACACTTAAATGAACAGATGAGACATTTAACATGAACAGAAATGACACTTAACATGAACAGATGAGACACTTAACATGAACAGATTAGACACATGAACAGATATGACACATAAATGAACAGATGAGACATTTAACATGAACAGATTAGACACTAAACGTGAACAGATAAGACATGTAACATGAACAGATAAGACACGTAACATGAACAGATTACACACTTAACATGAACAGATATGACACTTAACATGAACAGATTACACACTTAACATGAAAAGATCGGACACATGAACAGATATGACACGTAACATGAACATATATGTCACTTAACATGAACAGATATGACACTTAACATGAACAGATATGACACTTAACATGAACAGGTATGACACTTAACATGAACAGATTACACACTTAACATGCACAGATATGACACTTAACATGAACAGATAAGACACTTAACATGCACAGATATGACACTTAACATGAACAGATATGACACTTAACATGAACAGATAAGACACTTAACATGCACAGATATGACACTTAACATGAACAGATAAGACACGTAACATGAACAGAAATGACACTTAACATGAACAGATTAGACACTTAACATGAACTGATATGACATTTAACCTGAATAGCTATGACACATGAACAGATATGACATTTAACCTGAATAGATAAGACACTGAACATGAACATATAAGATGCTTAACATGAATAAGTAACTATTGTTTAAAAATATTGTGACATATTTAAAGTAAATCATAATGAAGTGACTTACAATGACATAATTATTGTGTTAGGTACTTTGACAAAGTGTTCAATATGAGTGGAATGCCTGACATGGTGGAGAAGTATGGCGACTGGTTCACCTGGGACAAGACTCCACGAGCTCTCATCTTCGGTCGCGATCATCACAGGGTGGTGGATCTCGACTCCATGATCAAACTCATGAGGTAACTGTTCATCAGTGTGAAATGTTGTTATCTATGACATGAGGTAACTGTTCATCAGTGTGAAATGTCGTTATCTATATATATAGAAGCTCTTGCTGATTTTTTCATATTTCTCCATGAGTAAGCAATTAAATTTCGTTTCTGCATGCCTTTAAGTATAGTGGTATTCTGCATGCCTTTAAGTAAAGTGGTATTTTGCATGCCTTTAAGTAAAGTGGTATTTTGCATGCCTTTAAGTATAGTGGTATTCTGCATGCCTTTAAGTATAGTGGTATTCTGCATGACTTTAAGTATAGTGGTATTCTGCATGTCTTTAAGTAAAGTGGTATTCTGCATGCCTTTAAGTATAGTGGTATTAGAGTCAATAAGAGTTTTGTTTTGACAATGTTCTATGCACTATTCACACAACTTTTGCTTCAATAAAAAAAAATCACTGTAATTTTGTACAAAATTTAACTTCTGTCTTTTTTACCCTGCAACCAATATCAGCTCATTGCATATTTGAGAATAAATATTTTTGTATCAAAAAAGACTTAGCAAGTACATCCATCTTTATATTGGACCATAGTGATGTTAAAGGAAGTGAACCATCTAGTCACTTGTTACTGACTCGACTTGAGGTGGTGAACCATCTAGTCACTTGTTACTGACTCGACTAGAGATAGTAAACCACCTAGTCACTTGTTACTGGCTCGACTTGAGGTGGTGAACCATCTAGTCACTTGTTACTGACTCAACTAGAAGTATGTCACAGTGGTGAATCATCTAGTCATTTGTTACTGAATCATCTAGAGGTATGTCACAATGGTGAACCATCTTGTCACTTGTTACTGACTCAACTAGAGGTGGTGAACCATCTAGTCACTTGTAACTGACTCAACTAGAAGTATGTCACAGTGGTGAACCATCTAGTCACTTATTACTGATTCGACTAGAGGTATGTCACAGTGGTGAACCATCTTGTCACTTGTTACTGACTCAACTAGAGGTGGTGAATCATCTAGTCATTTGTTACTGAATCATCTAGAGGTATGTCACAGTGGTGAACCATCTAGTCACTTATTACTGATTCGACTAGAGGTATGTCACAGTGATGAACCATCTGGTCACTTGTTACTGACTCACAACTGCACACAATTAATATTTGGCTTTCACTCACTGATACCTCATTAGTAAAGTGAGCATTAAAGGATATTCTCTCAGCTAGTGACATTAAGTCCAATATGTTTTTCCTTTTACCACATCCAAAAATTATTAAACTGAAAAATCAAGTGCTTGTTCTAGTTATATTTTGATATTTTCATACATTTTAAAACAGAAAGCATCATAAGGATTGATGAGTATGTCGGTGCATGAGACTAGCGTATACTGTTCCACCCTATGATATTGCTGTTGTTTATTTCAGATACAATGACTTTACCCACGATCCTCTGTCCAGATGTAATTGCACACCCCCTTACAGTGCTGAGAATGCAATATCTGCACGATGTGACCTGAATCCTGCAAGTGGCAGTTATCCAATCAGTGCTCTAGGTCATAGGTCACATGGAGGCACTGACATGAAGGTATATATGTAGATCAGTGTAGCGTATGTTGAGGGTTAGTGTAGATCAGTGTAGTGTGTGTTGGCCTGTTGTCTGTTGAGGGTTAGTGTAGATCAGTGTAGAGTATGTTGAGGGTTAGTGTAGATCAGTGTAGCGTGTGTTGGCCTGTTATCTGTTGAGGGTTAGTGTAGATCAGTGTAGCGTATGTTGGCCTGTTATCTGTTGAGGGTTAGTGTAGATCAGTGTAGCGTATGTTGGCCTGTTATCTGTTGAGGGTTAGTGTAGATCAGTTTAGCGTGTGTTGGCCTGTTGTCTATTGAGGGTTAGTGTAGATCAGTGTAGCATGTGTTGAGGGTTAGTGTAGATCAGTGTAGTGTGTGTTGGCCTGTTGTCTGTTGAGGGTTAGTGTAGATCAGTGTAGTGTGTGTTGGCCTGTTGTATGTTGAGGGTTAGTGTAGATCAGTGTAGTGTATGTTGGCCTGTTATCTGTTGAGGGTTAGTGTAGATCAGTGTAGCGTGTGTTGGCCTGTTGTCTGTTGAGGGTTAGTGTAAGTCAGTGTAGCATGTTTAATCCAAAATTGGTTCCCCTTCACCCAAAGATGCTTCTTACCAAATATGGAACAAATCCTTTCATTCCTACAGAAGAAGGAGGATTTTAAAGAATTTTCTATATTACCCCTATTGGGCCCCGCCCCTCAGCACCCAGAGGGGTCAGACCCACCATTTATACAAAATTTGTTCTCCTTCCCCCAAGGTTGCTTTTTACCAAATTTGGTCAAAATCTGCTAAGTCGTTAATGACTAGTAGCGTTTTAAAGGAAAAGTTGACGGACGGACGACAGACGCTGTGGTATGGCATAAGCTCACCATGGTCCTTCGGACCAGTTGAGCTAACAAGGGATCCCAGAGGGATCTTGGCGCCCACCTCTGTACCATCTTTATAAGTTCTTTGTCCGTTTGATCTTTTCTCTAATCTGTTTGATCAAGTCATCTTAACAGTAAATGCACCTTGAGGTAACTTTTGATCTAAACTTAATACTGCTGTGTATAAAAGACAACCTTCAAAGTGAGTTTGTCATTTCACATATTTACTAGTACAGTACTTAAGGTCATAGGGAGTGTATTGATAAACGGAAGTAGAAAGTACATCCCTAGTTGAAAATCCAGTGTAGAGAGACAGTATCACAATTTCCGTATATTCGAATGTTTAATATTAAACTGATGAATATTGTATGTTTATTATTGACAGAACAGTGTTTTCTCTCAATATTAAAGTATTTCAAAGCAATGCAGGCATTAATTCAGGTTTTTTTTTATCAATGAGCCACATGTATCCATTTTCTGTACTTCAGGAAACCGGCTACCTATTTCACTACTGTGATTTTTTCAAGAAAGATAACTCTTACCTGCAATTACTATGTGCATATGATTTTATTATAAAATGTCAATTTTTAATCGTTTATAGAAAATTTATTTGACATAATTTCAGCATTAATTAAACTGATATACATTAATGTTATACTTATCTATGGCAGTATCTTTTTTAATGACATTATTTTGCAAAATATTTTGTCTTTCATTGTTTAAAAATATTTTGTCTTTCATTGTTTTTTTCAAGTCACTCCTTTTTACATAAATTTTTATTTGAATTCCATAAAATTATGACAACCTATATTTTTTTTGTGGCAGAAAATTTTCTTTACTTCAAAGCAATATAACTACAAAATTTGAGGAAATTCTACTGAGAAATGGCGACACAATCTTATTACCTTAATGTGACAGAAATAGAACCGATCATTGCAATATGAGAAAGATCTGATAAGTTCTTCCTTTGACCATTTTGTTTTTATGATCAGTCTCAAACAAACATGCACAACTAGGGATCATGGGGAACCTACATATCAAATTTGAGAAAGATCCCTCTGGTACTTCCTGAGAAATAGCGATAACAAAAATTGTTAAAGGACGGACAATGAATGATGGACGGACGGACCACGGACAGACCAGACGCAGGGCGATTTGACTCTGATGGTGGGCTAAAAACATAAGGGGAAAACAGGCTGAGAACATAAGGGGAAAACAGGCTAAAAACATAAGGGGAAAACAGGCTAAAAACATAAGGGGAAAACAGGCTGAAAATAGAATGGAGAGTTTGGTTATGCTCACTTTATATTGCTTTTGAAAACTCTTTTCACTGTATTTTTGGTGTAGGTGACCAGTGCTGGACTGTTCCAAGCTCACACCTTTGTAACGGTCAGTGGACCAACCTCTGACCAGCAGCCACCCTTCCAGTGGAGTACGGCAGACTTTGCTGATGAATGCCCTCATGCTGGCCACCCTGACATCTTCAACTTTGACCCCATCCAGTTTGACGGAACAGTCAACTACAAGCCTTATCCTTTATACAAACCTGAACATAAAGGAATACACTAGTCACAAAATCTGTGTCAACCAAAAGTGCCATTCCAAATAAAATTGTCTTGATTCCTTCACAATTCACTAACAAGTTCAGTATAAAGTAGATGAACACTGCAAAGACCAAGCAAACTAAACTGTTAAATAATCATAGAGCTATGAGCTTTATCATTACTATTTATATATTGATGTGTTTGGTGTTGATGTGTTTGATGTTGATGTATTTGGTGTTGATGTATTTGATGGAGACCTTGGACAAAAACTGTTCTATCTACTATCTACATACTACAACACAAGGACAATGGTGTCTTGTTCCAGTTTTCTAAATTAATACAACAAGAGGCCCAGAAGAAGTTGTTTAAAGTTTTTAACATATTTGACCCCTGTGACCTTGAAAATAGGTGAAGGTCATTTATTTGAACAACCTTGGTAGCCCTTCATCCTAGTTTGCTTCTGGCCAAATATCATCACCCTAGGCCTTTTGGTTTTTAAGAAGATGTTCGGGCAGGTGAGCTAAAACTGTGAGTTGAGAAATGATTTGTTGACCTGAATTGTGTCCGTTGTAACCTGTGTTTATATGGCAATAGTAGTGTGACCTTCCTCCAAACAGTGATTATTTTATTAATTGTATTTTTAATCACTGTTAAACAAAAACAAAAAAATAATCTATATATATATATTAAATATTTGTAACTAAATCAGTACACATCAAGTTCATATTACCACAGTGTGATATACATGTAAAGTTATGTACAGCACAGACAAATCCTTCGGGCCAGGTGAGTTAAAAATCTGGATCCTATAATCTAAGATGGCTGCCATATGTAGTTGTTCTGTTGCCCAGATCTGTTAGTAGTTTATGGTGTTTGTAAGATTACATACATTCTGTAGGTGTGATATATGCCTCGTTACTTAAACCTTAGATGATTGCCGAGGCTTCTACCTGGAAATTAGGGGATTAAATACAATCCGGCCAGTACCAGGTGGGGTTGACATGACTGGTATGCTTTACTAAATTTTAGGTAGAGTGGACTGCTGTAAGTATAATATGTTGGAGGTTAGGAAACATTGTGTGTGTATGAAGATTGAAAGCTTGTACACACAGATTCATTCAATGTCACAAAATGTTTATGTAATTATTATATAAGATGTTCACGACAAAGTCAATGTGATGACTCATTAATCCAGTCAACCCTTTTACCTGGCAAGAAAGTAAGATAAGTGGGTAAATGGTGGCAGGATTAATGAACTGTATAGAATAAAGAATATATATAATGAGAAATTGGAGGATGTAATAAAGTATTTAATTCATAATTCATTTCCTGTTTTTATTGGATTGGCTCCATAATTTCAAGTATAACCGCTAATTTTCATCTTAATTTGAATTACTGACGATGTGGGATGTTGTTTGGTTTGTATAGGTAATGTAATGTGGACTGTTTTGTCAAGTGTGAAAAAATGAAACAAGTGGCCTGGAGGGCCTGTACCACTCACTTGGATAATTAAGTTACCATGGCAGATATTCTCGCTGTTTGGGAGGAATTGACAATGCACTGCACTATAGCACATTTTCCTTCTGAAAACACTGGAAATATTTCCTGAACAATAATGTTTGGAGAAATATGTGGTATTAAAACCATAAAATTTTGGAATAATCTTCCTTTCAAGTTACTGTAAAGCCAGTATTCAGGAGTGCAAGGCTTTAGTTTGGCTATCAATATATTTTTGCTTCCTGATTATTAGAACTCATTATCTCTTTGACATGAATCCGCAAAATGAATCGTTGCAAATTTTGATTTGGTGTAAATCTGTATTGAAGAAAGGAGAACATTTAGAGACCCTATCATTCACCTGAATATTTAAGCAATCATGGCATCCTCATTCAGATTAGTATTGCAAACGTTTCCAAATTTCATTTCAAGCTCTGTCTCTCCAATCCCAATATGTTGCTTCACAGCAGAACTGGTTGAGATCATAGTGATCTGGTTTATATAATATGGTTCTGGAGTAGGGATCTCAATATTTCCCATGTAATGACCAGAAATTAAGACCCCAGGGGCAGGGCCGGATACCGGTGCTCATCCTACAAGACCCCAGGGGCAGGGCCGGATACCGGTGCTCATCCTATAAGACCCAAGGGGCAGGGCCAGATACCGGTGCTCATCCTACAATACCCCAGGGGCAGGGCCAGATACCGGTGCTCATCCTACAAGAACCAAGGGGCTGGGCCGGATACCGGTGCTCATCCTAAAAGACCCCAGGGGCAGGGCCGGATACCAGTGCTCATCCTACAAGACCCCAGGGGCAGGGCCAGATACTGGTGCTCATCCTACAAGACCCCAGGGGCAGGGCCGGATACCGGTGCTCATCCTATAAGACCCCAGGGGCAGGGCCAGATACCGGTGCTCATCCTACAAGACCCAAGGGGCTGGGCCGGATACCGGTGCTCATCCTAAAAGACCCCAGGGGCAGGGCCGGATACCAGTGCTCATCCTACAAGACCACAGGGGCAGGGCCAGATACCGGTGCTCATCCTACAAGACCACAGGGGCAGGGCCAGATACTGGTGCTCCTCCTACAAGACCCCAGGGGCAGGGCCAGATAACGGTGCTCATCCTACAAGACCCCAGGGGCAGGGCCAGATACCGGAGCTCATCCTACAAGACCCCAGGGGCAGGGCCGGAGACCGGTGCTCATCCTACAAGACCCCAGGGGCAGGGCCGAATACCGGTGTTCATCCTACAAGACCCCAGGGGCAGGGCCAGATACCGGTGCTCATCCTACAAGCAAGTTGCTGCTCTTTGCCCAGAAAGGAAATACATAGTTATATGACTGGGATATCAATTGTACGACCCAGGGATGGTTGTTCAGGGTTTAATGTCCTATCAACAGCTGAGGTCATTTAAGAAAGTGTATGGACTAAAAAAGATTTGCACTACTGGTCATTTTAATGTTGTTTGAAGTTCCTAACTAACTTCACCCCACTGACCTTCAGAGCAGGCTAAGGTAATTTACATCAAGCTATTTTGTAGCACTCCATGCCAGGTACCTAATGGCCAAATATCAGGACCTAGGGTTTTTCAGAAGCCATTCAAAGAAATTTGACATGAACCCTCACACCATAAGCTTAGTGATGTGGCCTCACACCATAGGCTTACTAATGCAGCCTCGCACCATAAGCTTACTGATGTGGCCTCACACCATAAGCTTACTGATGTGGCCTCACACCATAAGCTTACTGATGTGGCCTCACACCATAAGCTTACTGTCGATGCTGCCACACACCATAAGCTTACTGATGCGGTTTGTTTGAGCTAAAAAAAACCCCAGCTTTAACTAGAAATTGCTGGCAAACAATTTGAAGGGTTTTTTTCAAACAAAATTGAAAACTTGGTAACCTTTGACCCAACAGCGAGGAATTCTATCCGACAATTTTTGTATTAACATGTCATGGGAAAAAGTTAGCCCCGAAGAATATCTACAAATGAATGTTGTATAATCAACAGTTTTCGAGTTATGATCATTTTTAGATTTTGACCTATGACGAATGGCAACCATTGAATTTTTGACCCACTTGAAAATGGAGCAATAACATCTTAAGACCTTGGCCTACAATATACTTTAAAGACTATGAACACATTAGATTAGATTAGTTGCATACAAAATCAGGACATACACACAAGGTATTGTGATATCATTGACATACATATGAGGTATTGTGATATCATTGATATATACACAAGGTATTGTGATATCATTGACACACATATGAGGTATTGTGATATCATTGACATACACACAAGGTATTGTGATATCATTGACATACATATGAGGTATTGTGATATCATTGAAATACATATGAAGTTTTGTTGATCAATGTATCTGTCCTGGAGCTTAAGGGATCAATGAATGCAACGACAAAAAGAAAATTCAAAACAGATTAGTTTTTCAAAAGACTTTTAATTAGATTTCCAGCAGTAAAATAAATCAATCAGTGAAAATGATGAATTTCACTTTTAAATCAAAACAATAAAACAGTGAGAACTAACATAAACATGAGAAGACAATGAGAACTAACATAAACATGAGATGACAGTGAGAACTAACAAACATGAGATGACAGTGAGAACTAACAAACATGAGAACTAACATAAACATGAGATGACAGTGAGAACTAACATTAACATGAGATGACAGTGAGAACTAACATAAACATGAGATGACAGTGAGAACTAACAAAAATGAGAACTAACAGAAACATGAGATGACAGTTAGAACATAAACATGAGAGGACAGTGAGAACTAACAAAAATGAGAACTAACAGAAACATGAGATGACAGTGCGAACTAACATAAACATGGGATGACAGTGAGAACATAAGCATGAGATGACAGTGAGAACCAACATAAACATGAGATGAGAGTGAGAACTAACATAGACATGAGATGAAAGTGAGAACATAAACATGAGACGAGAGTGAGAACTAACATATACATGAGATGACGGTGAGAACATAAACATGGGATGACAGTGAGAACATAAGCATGAGATGATAGTGAGAACTAACATAGACATGAGATGACAGTGAGCACTAACAAACATGAGATGACAGTGAGAACATAAACATGAGATGAGAGTGAGAACTAACATAGACATGAGATGACAGTGAGAACATAAACATGAGATGACAGTGAGAACATAAACATGAGATGAGAGTGTCCACAATGAAGATAAAATGGGATCCACTACTTTCCTCCTTCAGCTAAAAATTACCTACATATAGGATCTTATATGAGTTTTCATTTCATATGGAATTTATGAAACGAGTCTAAGAATTCTTCAATTTAGCGAGCCTCTGGCGAGCTAAAATAAAAAAATGGTGACAAGTTTCATCAATTCCATATGAACTGAAAACAAGTTAAAGATCTTTTTTATCACATAATCAAGATTTGTGGCATTTATTCGTGTAAAACAACAATTTTCTTGTTACCTTGAAATGTAGAAGGCCGCCATTTTGACTCTAGTGCGTAAGTCTTTGACGTCATGTACTTGTCCTAGGCGTGAGGTCACAATTGAAAATTACAACCAATCACAGGGCTGATAGGTCATATAACATGGGTTAATATGCAAACAAATATCCACTGGATAACACAGAACATTATGTGATAAATGTATATACATAAATATGCAATGAAATTGTAAATATTCTCAAACAATGGACGGATTATGGTAGCGCTAGATTCAAAAATTCTTCATCTGAGTCATTGATCCACACTGTACAAATACTTCATTAGAAATATTGAAACATGAACTTTAAATTTACAGATAGAGTTGCCTAATGTTCAAATTCAAAAGGCAGGTGTTTGTATAGGCGTGTGTTTTCTGTAGACAGGTGTTTGTATAGGCGTGTGTTTTCTGTAGACAGGTGTTTGTATAGATGTGTGTTTTCTGTAGACAGGTGTTTGTATATACAGGTGTTTTCTGTAGACAGGTGTTTCTAAAGACAGGTGTTTTCAGTAGAAATTTGATTCCAGTAGACTTGTGTTTCTAAAGACAGGTAGCCTATATGGCTTATGGCTCATTTTACTTTGTAGAACAATTTTGAAAATTTAATTTAAAAACATAGGAAACATTGTAGTTGAATGTGGATTGATATTAACTGTCTAGGATCAAAACAAAGAAGAAAATCAGCACAAAGTGATTGACCAATGAAATTCTTTACATTTTCTTAAAAGTCTTTTAAAATTCCTTTTGTCATTGCCTCATAATCGTGACTACTCGACTTAACGCACAAAACTATGTTTGGCCAAGACACATTATCTTTGATGTACATTATTATAACTAGAACAGTAATGACCAATGGTTTCCAGCTCTTTCCTACGCTACTGGACACCTCTCCTCTGTCACTGGACACAACTTGTGTAAGTCATTTGACTCCCCCAGGCTGTGCTGACTTGTTAGAGTGAAGAGGAGCCACCAGACTATCGAGTTCCCGCTTGTAACCCGTTTCTGCTAGCCACACCTACAACATCACAAGTCAATAATACAAAACTAGAGATCTGCCATGTTCACATTTGTTTGGGAATTATTTAACATTTGATCTAGAGGTGAAGGTCAAGGCAATCTAAACTCTACAGATTCGTTTTTGTTTTCTGTCTTCCCTTATTATTTGCTGATTTTGAAAAGACTACTTTAGTTATAAAATGCAATTATATGAATGAATGCATTAAAAAAGTTATTATGCTGAAGGTCACAGTACCCTGACAGATTAAAAAGTTATTATGCTGAAGGTCACAGTCCCCTGACAGATTAAAAAGTTATTATGCTGAAGGTCACAGTACCCTGTCAGATTAAAAAGTTATTATGCTGAAGGTCACAGTACCCTGTCAGATTAAAAAGTTATTATGCTGAAGGTCACAGTACCCAGACAGATTAAAAAGTTATTATGCTGAAGGTCACAGTACCCTGACAGACTAAAAAGTTATTATGCTAAAGGTCACAGTACCCTGACAGATTAAAAAGTTATTATGATGAAGGTCACAGTACCCTGACAGATTAAAAAGTTATTATGCTGAAGGCCACAGTACCCTGACAGATTAAAAAGTTACTACTGTAATGTTTGTACTTTTAAGCTCACCTGGTCTGAAGGACCACGGTGACCTTATGCTGTACCGCAGCGTCCGTAGTCCGTCCACCTGGCCGTCTGTCAACTTTTCATTTAAAACACTACTATTCCTGAACGATCAAGTAGATTTCGACTAAATTTGGTCTGGAGCATCCTTGGGCCAAGGGAACTCAATTTTGTATAAATGGTGGGTGTGGCCCCCTTGGGGCAGAGTAGCAGGGCCCAATAGGGGAAATAGAGGTTAACCTTTCTACCACAGGGATTTTAGGGATTCTTCTACCATAGGGATTTAACCCCCGATTTGGTCTGGAGCATACTTGGGCAAAAGGGACTCGATTTTGTATAAACGGTGGGTTTGGACTCCCTGGGTGCAGGGCCCAATATGGTAAATAGAGGTAAAACATTTGAAATCTTTCTTCTTCCATAGGGATTAAGGGATTTTATCCCAATTTGGTCTGGAGTATCCTTGGGCCAAGGGCACTCAAGTTTGTAAAAATGGTGGGTGTGGCCCCTTTGGGTGCAGAGGAGCGGGGCTCAAAAGGGGAACTCGAGGTTTAAATCTTTAAAATCCTTCACCATTTGTTCTATATGAGGGATTTCATCCAAATTTGGCCTGGAGCATCCATGGGCAAAAGGGACTCATTTTTGTGTAAAAAAATACACTACACACCCTCAGGTACTCTTCAAGTTTCATTGCGATATCTTGATCAGCTTTAAAATTGAAATTTTGCAGCTACCAGTTATGTGATCTTTGACCTACAGGTGAAGGTCATGGTGACCTAATTAAAGTAAACTGCCTACTCTCTGTGGGTATACACCAGGATATATACAATGTTTAAAAGTTTACATCCAGACAAGATTTTCACATCAACTTCATGCCTGAAGGTTACAGAGACCTGTAATTACACTGCACACCTTCTGTTGTTGGTGCCATTCTATCAAGGTCTATTTAACGATAAAAATCATGGCCCCAACAGATGATTAAGCTTTTTAAAGTCATCCATGAGTATTTAAATATTTCAATCTTTAACAATGCAATATAAGAGATTCCAAAACATGCCCCAATCTTTGCAGGTCAAGTAACTTGGCAGGTGTGAATTTTCAAAATTTTAATTATATCACGTACTTAAACTACAAGGACTGAAATTTTAATAAAATCATGGACTTAAACTACAAGGACTAAAATTTTTAAATAAAATCACAGACTTAAACTACAAGGACTAAAATTTAAATAAAATCACATACTTAAACTACAAGGACTGAAATTTAAATAAAATCACATACTTAAACTACAAGGACTAAAATTTAAATAAAATCACATACTTAAACTACAAGAACTGAAATTTTAATAAAATCACATACTTAAACTACAAGGACTAAAATTTAAATAAAATCACATACTTAAACTACAAGAACTGAAAATTTAATAAAATCATGGACTTAAACTACAAGGACTGAAATTTTAATAAAATCACATACTTAAACTACAAAGGCTGAAATTTAAATAAAATCATGGACTTAAACTACAAGAACTGAAATTTTAATAAAATCACATACTTAAACTACAAGGACTAAAATTTAAATAAAATCATGGACTTAAACTACAAGGACTGAAATTTTAATAAAATCACATACTTAAACTACAAAGGCTGAAATTTTAATGATCTGGATGAAGGCAAGTAAACCCGGTAATATTTTTTTCTGATGTTGCTTATGACAACTTCAATCATGTCCCGTATTTCAGTAATGAGAGGCCCAAATCAGCATGGTACTAGCCAAAATCCTCCTCCTAGGCCTTAAGGAGAATTACCTCTAAGTAACAAGAGGCTGAGGGGCCTGAATAACTCACCTGCCATGTTCTCATTTTTATAGGAAACAGATGAATTTCCATATTTGATAACATGTGTTTATTTTACATCACTAGGATTTTTAGCTATTATGACCGAACTTGTCATCCCATTGCATTTAAAACAAAATATATGTTCAATCAATCACAAAATATATTTACCATTAAAATGGTACAGTACACTTACATGGAATCTGGTTTCTACTAAAGCTTGAAACTCTTTGCGTTGTTCACGGCTTAATCCTGCCTCTTTCACTGTTTTCTGCCAGCTATCTATCATCTTCTGGCGCTGAGTGACCGCTTTCTGGTACTTGGTAGGCAGGCCACCAGGAATGTCCTGTGTTTACAGACTCAGATTAGTACTTATATCTTGTAGTATTTAAAGTCAACATTTGATAAACGCAGTAAGCCTGTGATGTTACACAATTAGGATTAAAGAGGTGAAGGCCATAGTCCCCCTATAGGATTAGATATAAAGAGGTGAAGGCCATAGTCCCCCTATTTCTATGTATGACACACTGCCGTCTAAGGAAGTACTCCCATACAAAATTTTGTACTTATAGCTGACAGAGAATATCAGATATACAAGAGGCCTACAGGCCTGAATAGCTCACCTAGTATATTTTCGATTAAAAACCTTCTGAATACCATGGTTGGGGATACCAGACGATATGCTGGAATATGAGAGCATGGCTTTTACATACCAGGGACGCAAACGTTTCAGTGCTAAGATATGAATAAATATTCATTTATGTCTGTGCAGTACCAAAAACCTAGTTGGTATCCACCAACCAGGTTTTTGGTACAATATTATGAGTATTAACAGACAAAAGGACAGAGAGAAACCCCTTTGGATTTCAGTATACTTCCCGACCCCCTCCGACATCTTCTACACTTACCATTGTGGTGCCCTCCATTTGAAAGGGAATGTTAAAAGTGAAAAATTCTTGGACAGGCAACAGTTCCCACACCGGCGTCTCATCTTTGTGCTCAGGTCCTACAATATACACAGTCTACAGTAAGTGTCAACTTCTCCTCCTCTACACACAGCCCCTCCTCCTCTACACACATCCTCCCCTTCTACACACAGCCCCTCCTCCTCTACACACAGCCCCTCCTCCTCTACACACATCCCCTCCTCCTCTACACACAGCCCCTCCTCCTCTACACACTCCCTCCTCCTCTACACACATCCTCCCCTTCTACACACAGCCCCTCATCCTCTACACATAGCCCCTCCCCTCTACACACATCCTCCCCCTCTACACACATCCTCCCCCTCTACACACAGCCCCTCCTCCTCTACACACACCCTCCCCCTCTACACACAGCCCCTCCCCTCTACACACAGCCGCTCCCCTGTCCTCCATTCACAGCCCCCGCCTCTATACACANCTATACAGTACAGTATATATCATCTCCTTCTATACACACAGACCCCCAATCTCAAACACACAGCCCCTCCCCTGTCCTCCATACACAGCCCCTCCCCTCTATACACAGCCCCTCCCCTCTATACACAGCCCCCTCTATACACAGACCCTCCCCTCTATACAGTACAGTAAATATCATCTCCTTCTATACACACAGACTCCCAATCTCAAACACACAGCCCCTCCCCTGTCCTCCATACACAGCCCCAGTCCTCCATACACAGACCCTCCCCTCTATACAGTACAGTATATATCATCTCCTTCTATACACACAGACCCCCAATCTCAAACACACAGCCCCTCCCCTGTCCTCCATACACAGCCCCCTCTATACACAGACCCTCCCCTCTATACAGTACAGTATATATCATCTCCTTCTCTACACACAGACCCCCAATCTCAAACACACAGTCCCTCCCCTGTCCTCTATACACAGCCCCCTCTATACACAGACCCTCCCCTCTATACAGTACAGTATATATCATCTCCTTCTATACACAGACCCTCCCCTCTATACAGTACATTAAATATCATCTCCTATACACACAGACCCCCAATCTCAAACACACAGCCCCTTCCCTCTATACACAGCCCCTTCCCTCTATACACAGCCCCTCCCCTCTATACACAGCCCCTCCCCATACTCAGAAAACAGTAAATAACATCTCCCTTTCTTCCATATGACCCTGATACTGCCAGTTTCTTTCCACACAAATGCCTTTGCCTCCTTACACAGCCTCCTCTTTACCCAGTACACAGCCACACTTACCCACACATAATGGCTGGTCCCATAGGTTTCTGTCAGCACACAGCCCTGCTGTGGTTAGATGATCCTCCAGGCAAGGGTAGTGGGTGTGGTAAGGGGCAAGGAGGATAGTGTCATTGCCCCCAAGGAGCATCGGCCTGCTGGGGGTCATCAAGTGCAGGTTGCAAAGTGTGCTTCCACTAGAAAACACAAAACATACATGATGACTAAAACAGACAGATAAACTCTGACTCTATGAGTCACTATGTACAGACAGATAAACTCTGACTCTTTGAGTCACTATGTACAGACAGATAAACTCTGACTCTTTGAGTCACTATGTACAGACAGATAAACTCTGACTCTTTGAGTCACTATGTACAGACAGATAAACTCTGACTCTTTGAGTCACTATGTACAGACAGATAAACTCTGACTCTTTGAGTCACTATGTACAGACAGATAAACTCTGACTCTTTGAGTCACTATGTACAGACAGATAAACTCTGACTCTTTGAGTCACTATGTACAGACAGATAAACTCTGACTCTTTGAGTCACTATGTACAGACAGATAAACTCTGACTCTTTGAGTCACTATGTACAGACAGATAAACTCTGACTCTTTGAGTCACTATGTACAGACAGATAAACTCTGACTCTTTGAGTCACTATGTACAGACAGATAAACTCTGACTCTTTGAGTCACTATGTACAGACAGATAAACTCTGACTCTTTGAGTCACTATGTACAGACAGATAAACTCTGACTCTTTGAGTCACTATGTACAGACAGAT